GGCCCGGCCGCCTCTTCTGACTGGTCGTGTCCTCCCAATTCAGACTTCTTCCATCTATTCTCCGTTCCTCTGTGTACATAATAACTGTTCCTAATACGCTGGCTTCCCCAAGATTTCTTCTCTACTAAATAACCATGGTCTGAAGATCGCAGTTGCCAGGGTTTAACTTACTTAACCCCTTGTGATAGGCCCTCCCACAAGTTTACTCAACCAAAGTCTGCAGATCCTTGCAGAAACCGTGAACACGATTCCTGCTCCGAGATGAGACATGCCACACTTATATCGCGGATTTACTATAAGCCACATAACGCACCTGATTAAGTATGGACATGGGCATTGCCCATGGACCAGAATCCAAAATCCGTGGCCCAGTCATACGGACCAACACAAGCAAAACTCAAGCACTCAATCGTGCGTCGTCTTACACATCCAGTGAAGTAACAGCTGATTTAAACCATAGAGCTAACGAGCTCGAAGGTTAACAACAAAAATGAGGTATGGTGCCCAATTATCATGAATTATTTGTCGTGGGAGCGTCAAATCCAGAAACCTCCTTAGCTAGCACCAATTTATGAAAAGTCCACAGCTATTTATATTTCAAAGTTCGCAAAAGAACTGGTCAACTTGGGTATTGAGCAAGTCTACCATGATTAAATAAAAGTCCAGAACGTTTTCAGACCGGGCTTCTACACGAATTGTAAAAGCAGAAAAATCAGGTTAACTACGGCAACTAAATAAAGAATCGCCAATCTACGTAGTTTTTATGCGTGAAATTTCACATTTTTGATTTACAGTTATTATAGCAAAACACGGACAACGAAATCACAGCAATTAATAACTCGAAAATGAACTGCCAAGCCATCACCGCACCGATTTCGAGCCCCAGCGGTGGATACAGGAGCTGATACTTATAGTGCCCATACGAGTGACCACTACGAACTATAAATACTGCGCAATCTGTGCAGGTCTGACACTGTTCTACGAAGACTTATAATAGAGGAATCTTGACAGAATCCAAAACGTCAAGTCAAGTCAAGTCAAGTTTATTATAGGAAATAAAGGCAAACACCTTTGAACTCCCTCTTGGTACATAGTCTTTAAGAAATGCATCGGCACAGCCCAGCCCTCCAAAGAAGTCGTTGACACAATTGTAGACGACTACTCGATTGTTTCAAGTAATACACTCACACTCGAGCCAGCAGTGTAACTGAGCGAGAAGAGCAGACAGTGAAAAAACTCCTAA